TGGTTCATGGCCTGGTTTCCTGCTCCAAACCTCCGGGTGTTCCAGGTCCCCCCCGATATACGACGAAAAACCCGCTTGCCTTTCTTACGCCGCCGTAGCAGCTCTAGGTTCCTACACGCTAGCGATCGTTTCCTAGCTCTCGCCCTCTTCCTAGCTTTCCTATTATGCTGTCTGCGGCGCGCGTTCCTCCGCTGGCACCTAGTACCACCTACCGGTGTCGATGGGTCCAACACGCGCGATGCCTGTGGGCCCAATGGGACGTCATCACCTAACGGCGCGCCTGGACCAAGGGCGTCGCCGGTTCCACTCCCCGCCCCGTCACCTGGGGAAAGGTCCGGAGACCCAACCGCCCCATGGTGAGTGTGAGGCGGGGGGGGTTGTACACTCCCGCCCCCGAACTGGCCAAGATTGCCGGCGATAGGCCCGCCCGAGCGCGAAACCGAAGGCTCAAGACCAGGAAGCAAGGACCTACCACCACTATTGACGCTGGAGACGGAACCTCCGAGGGGGCGTGGGTTAGCCGTGTCTCCTCCCTCCTTTTCCCCTCCGTGTCCCCACATCCCATAAGTTTGAATGACGCAAAGACCCCAAACCCAGGCAACTATCATGGGGTGGAGGCGGGGTCGAATGGAGGGGGACTGAGACACGTTGTCCCAGGCGCGGCCAGAACCGCTCGTGTCCTGAGGGGTCCTTAAAAACCCACTGCATCCTAGACACGTCCAGCAAGCGGTCGAGCAAGGAGGCTTGTGTACCTGCGCTTGATTTATTTTGTGTCACGTGTGTTTACAAACCATGTCACATCTCGCTTCGCCATCCTGACGAGAGACTGACCAGACCAGCCAGATCAGCCAGACCAGCCAGACTGACCAGACCAGCCAGATCATTCGTTCCAGCCATAACCAGCCAAAGTAATCAGACCAGCCAGTCAGGCCAATCAAGCAGACCAGCCAGACCAACCATATTAGTCATGCCAACAACCGCAGCCATAATCAGCCGGACTAACCACACGAGCCAACCAGGCCAACCAACCTGGACCATCCGGTTCAAGAGAATGGTGCACGGAGGTGGCAATTCGGCCACTGCGCATTTTGGGGGCATGCCTGTGGGCGCCTGCTGTCTTTGAGCCTGCTTGAACCGAGGTGTCTACAGTTAACCTTGCTGAGAATACTTCTGCTGCGTACACGCCTGAGGCACCGGTGCATACTGCCCAATATATAGACTCCAGAAAATGTCAAGGCTGCTACGCTACCTACATACCCTCTCTGCTGTCAAGCCCCCTGTGGCGTCGAGGACCCAGCGCCCCCCCTGTGGCGTCGAGGAAATGCCACGCCTGCCACGCCCTGGGAGCCTGCAGCGCACCCCTCCGGTGTCGAGGAAGTGCCACTCCTGCTAGGCCCTGCGACATTGGCGCGTATAGAGACCGCGGTGGGCCCCCACCCCCAGCGCACCCCCTGTGGCGTCGAGGAAACGCCACTCCTGCTAGGCCTTGCGACATTGGCGCGTATAGAGACCGCGGTGGGCCCCCACCCCCAGCGCACCCCTTGTGGCGTCGAGGAAATGCCACGCCTGCTAGGCCCTGCGACATTGGCGCGTATAGAGACCGCGGTGGGCCCCCACCCCCAGCGCACCCCCTGTGGCGTCGAGGAAGTGCCACGCCTGCTAGGCCCTGCGACATTGGCGCGTATAGAGACCGCGGTGGGCCCCCACCCCCAGCGCACCCCCTGTGGCGTCGAGGAAATGCCACTCCTGCTAGGCCCTGCGACATTGGCGCGTATAGAGACCGCGGTGTGGCCCACCAGGCCCGACCGCCCGCGGTGGGCCCCCACCCCCAGCGCACCCCCTGTGGCGTCGAGGAAATGCCACTCCTGCTAGGCCCTGCGACATTGGCGCGTATAGAGACCGCGGTGGGCCCCCACCCCCAGCGCACCCCCTGTGGCGTCGAGGAAATGCCACTCCTGCTAGGCCCTGCGACATTGGCGCGTATAGAGACCGCGGTGGGCCCCCACCCCCAGCGCACCCAGCGCGGCTGTGCGTTGCTTGCGTATACCAATGCTAGCTGCGGTTGGCGTAGAGGTGCGCCGCGGTGGGCCCCCCACCCCCAGCGCACCCCCTTGTGGCGTCGAGGAAATGCCACGCCTTCCACGCTTTGCGAGACCGAAACGCATAGGGCCCCCACCCACAGCGCACCCCCTGTGGCGTCGAGGAAATGCCACGCCTGCCACGCTTTGCGAAACCGAAGCGCATAGGGCCCCCACCCCCAGCGCACCCCCTGTGGCGTCGAGGAAATGCGACGCCTGCTACGCTTTGCGAGCCCGAAACGGATAGGGGGACCACCCCCAGCGCACCCCCTGTGGTGTCGAGGAAGTGCCACGCCTGCCACGTTTTGCGAGACCGAGCGCTGTGCTGTGTGCTGTGTGCTGTGTGCTGTGTGCTGTGTGCTGTGCGCTGTGTGCTGCGTGCTGTGTGCTGTGTGCTGTGTGCTCTGTGCTCTGTGCTGTGTGCTGTGTGCTGTGTGCTGTGTGTGTGTGTGTGTGTGTGTGTGTGTGTGTGTGTGTGTGTGTGCTGGCGTGTTTGTGTGTATGTGTGTATGTGTGTATGTGCATGTGTGCGCTGTGCCGTGCTGTGTTGTGCTGTGCTGTGGGTGAGGGAGGAAGGAGGAGAAGGGGGAGGAGGGGAGGAGGGAGGAAGACGCGGGTGCGACGCGGGAGAGAAGAATACCAGAACCCCACCAAGCATGTGGGGAAAACACACATGGTAATCTCACTAATTTTGACCCGGATTCTCAGAGAGTGGCGGTTTCGCGTGAAACATCCTCCCAAAATCGAGCCCCGACGTACCCTCTGGTACCCCAGGCCCCGCCTCGGAGCCTCCTGGGGGCCTCCTGGAACCTCCTGGGGCCTCCTGGGGCTTTCTGAACCTTCTGGTACCCCAGGCCCCGCCTCGGAGCCTCCCGGGGGTCTCCAGAAACCTCCTGGGGCCTCCTGGGGCCTCCTGCGGCCTCCTGGAGCCTCTTGGGGCCTCCTGAAGCCTCCTGGGGTCTCCTGGGGCCTCCTGAGGCCGCCTGGGCCTCCTGGGGCCTCCTGGGGCCTCAGAACTACATGCACACACAGATACGCAAATCACGCCCAACACATCACACGCTAGACAAGCATAACACACAACACCTGCAACGCACAAAAAACACGCACAACATAGAGCACGCATCACACACACACACACCCACACAACACTCGCAATCCTGGGGCCTCCTGGAGCCTCTTCTGGTATCCAAGTCGGGCCTCCTGAGGCTTCCTGGGGGGCCCTGGTACACACATCGCAAGGTGTGGCAACCCCACTTGCGCTCGAGTGCGACTTCGCTGTTGCATTTCACTCCTGCTTCAAGCGCCCCTTCAGTTTTTGTGTATGAGCCTGGGCACACACGTGCCACTTGTACATATATATCTATATATATATATATATACACATATTTGTGTGCATACACATAAGACTTGAGGGCTCGCGTCGCTTCACTTCACATTTTGGATGTAGGACCCAAGCTTGTCTCAAGACGGCCCCAGAGGCCCGCAAGAGGGCCACAATATAGACCAAGACAGCCCGGGACGGCCCAAGAGGCGTCCAAGATGGCCCCAGAGGAGCCCAAAAGGGCCCGAAGAGAGGCCCAAAACGGCACAAGACAAGACGGTCCCAAGATTGCCCGCGAGGCGCCCAAGACGGCCCCAAACGGCCCAAGAGGAGCCCAGGCGGCTCAAGAGGGTTTCAAAAGGCTCCGAAGAGGACCAAAAGAGGACCTAAGAGGTCCTCAAGAAGTCCCGAAGAGGCCTCAAGAGGCTTCAACATTGCCTCCAGAAGAGGGGGCCTGGCGCTCCTGACACCCCAGAAAGCTTCGCAAACAAAAAATAACACAGTCCCCCTAACCTAGCGGGGTTTCTTGTTGAATTCTTGCTCAGCTTGAAGCCCTCTTGGAGCCCTCTTGGACTTCCCCGGGAGTGCCCTGCGAGCCTCTCCGGCGATCCCGAAACCTTTCTGCGAGCTTCTCGGCCGCCCAATCAGGATCCTCGGAGGCGGACCATAGGGCTTCCAATTTAACAAAAGTCCAACAAGACGGCACGTCCGAGCGAACAGCGTTTTTTGCTGGGATGAATTCGAGCGGGATAGTATGCCCTCTTGTAGCCCTCTTGGGCTTCCCCAGGAGCCCCCTGCAGTCTGGGGTTCCTAGAGGGAGGTTATCTCAAAGTGGGGTAAGGGAATGAGCCCAGCTGGATGCTCATGTTTTCTTTCTTCCAGGAGCCGTTAAGAGCGACTTCCTTCCCAACACCACCTCTGCGACTGCCCCACCTTCACGCCTCCCCGATACAAGCCTCCCCAGCGATCCTGGAACCTTTCTGCGAGCCGCCCGGCCGCCCAGTCAGGAGCCCCAGAGGCGCCAATCAAGACGGCTCAAGCGAGCCCCAAGTGGCCCCCGAGACAGCTCCAGCAGGGCTCAAGAGCTGCCAAAGAGCACCCAAGGCACACTCCACGACGGCCCCGGGCTCCCGGCATGGCCCCAGGGTGGACCGCGAGCGCCCGCCCACGAGGCCACCAGGACCGCCCAGGAGGTCCCTGCTGACGGTCCCATGATGCCCAAATCACAGGTTCCCTGCCGGTTTTCTCAAGATTGCGAGGGCCTGACGGCCAGTGTCGCCGACCCTGAAGGGGGACGACGACGACAGCAGCGGCGGCGGCGGCGGCGACGACGACGACGACGCTGACGTCTCTTCGGAAGGCTCTCGCAGGCCTCTCGGTTTCCCTTTCTCGGTTCTCTCAAGATTTTCAGGTTCGCGTCCTTTCGGGGCAGGCGCGGCCCCAGACGGCTCCAGGGGCCTCCTTTTGGGTCGCCCCAGCACGGCCCCAGAGTTCCCGAAAACGGCCCCAAGACGGGCCCTTGTTGACAGCCTTTCGGCAGCAGCTTCGCCGCTGCCCCGAGAGCCATTTCAGAAAGCTTACGCGGACGGAGTCCACAGGTCAGCCCTTGTCAGCTACAGCGCTGGGATCAGCGCGTGCGAGAAGGGCCAGCAGTGGCAGCGGGCTTTGGCCCTGCTGCGCGAGGTGTGGGAAGCGAAGCTGGAGCCCAACGTCATCTCTCCTGGACTGCAGGGCCCCGCGCGTCCCAGGAGGGTCCCGAACCGAGCGGTTCCTCGGAGCCTCCGTCGGGCCCCAGGATTACCGACAGACGCCCCCCCCCACAGCGCCTCGCCAGGGAGCCCTGGGGGCCCCAGACGGCCTCTGGGCGCCCCTCCGAGACGGCCTCGGACGGCCCTGTCGGGTCCTTGGAGAGCCCCACGCGGCTTCACAGAGCTCCCACGACACCCCAAAGACGACGCCGAGACGGTCCCGAGAGGCCCCACGATGTCTTTCCGAGGGCTCCTGGCAGGCGAAACTAGAGAAATTTTTGACGCTTCGCGCATTCCCACCAGCCCATCCAGAAACGATCGCCAGACCTCCTGCGCGATGTGTCGCTGGTTGCCTGTTTCTCCCGACGTATCGCTGATTATCTGCGGCCCTCGTGTGTCAATGGTTGCCTGCGGCCCTGGACGTGTCACTCGTTGCCTGTTGCCTTAGACGCTTGCGTCTTGGGCCCGAGGGTTCAAGTAGATTCCCCCCCTCGGCGGCCCCATGTTGGAGGCATTTGGAGGCATTTTTGGCCCTATCGGGGCCTTCTTGGGGCCCTCTTGGGGCCTTCTTGGGGTCCTCTTGGGGCCCTTTGGGTGGGTCTGGGAGGTCTCGTGGGGCCTCTTGGGCCCCCATGGCTAAAAAAGATGGGGTTCATTGATCTAGGCCCCCCCCCGGGAGGAGGCTGTAAAGTTGCCTCTTGGGGCCCTCTTGGGGCGCTTCTGGGCGTCTCTTGGGCGGTCTTGGGGCTGTCTTGGGGCCCTCTTGGGCCACTCTTGGAACTTCCTTGGGCCATCTTGGGGCCATCGTGAGACCCCAGAGGCTTATCGGACACAAGAAGGCAAACATATGGATTTTCGAAGGTTTTTGAAGGATTGTGGCTTCTTGGAGGGTGCCAGCTGTCTTGGGGCCACTTGGAGGTATGTCGGCGGCTATCTTGAGCCATCTTCGGCTATCTTGAGTCATCTTGGAGGCCGTCTTGGGCTGCCGAGGGCAGCTTGGAGTCATCTTGGACCATCTGGTACGCTCTAATTTGCAGGCCCTCCCCCCCTGCCAGGCCCAGGGGAGGGGCCAGGGGAGGGGTCAAGGCACCCCCCAGATAGCAAGTCGTCTAGCTCACTCCCACCCGCCCTCCCAACACATAAGTAACACCCGAGCCTCATCATGTTCAGCGGTCGTCTTTGGATGGGCAGCTACTGGGAACCAAAACCGACCCCATGTGCGCGACGCTGGGGCGAGGTGCGTTACGCGTGCCAGGCGCGCCACGCGCGCCAGGCACCCCTGGGGCCCGAGCGTGCCAGGCACGCCTGGTGCGCCAGATGCGCCACGTGCCTCCGCAAAAATGCGTGCGCCAGGTGTGCCGCATACTCCAGCCGCGCCAGGTGCGCCACGTTCGGGGCACGTGCCGAGCGTGTCAGGTGCGCCTGCGCACGTGACAGCACACATCGGGAAACATGTCGGCCCCCACCATCCTTGTCGAAAACCAATGCCCATCATGGTGTCTGGTGTGCCTGCGCAAAGCAGGCCATACGCCACCACCCCCGCCGTCCCTATCAAACACCACTTGACAATTGTCTTGGGGTGGCCGCGCATGATCCAGATTTCTGCCGCGAGGTGAAATGGTCAGGGATGGTAGCACTGCGCGCAGCAGGCAATGTGCTGACACACCCGCCGTCCATGTCAGCAAGCAGTACACAATGTTCGCGCGCCTCACGAACTCGACTCCAGATTTTGCCCCGAAGTGTACTTTGTATTGTTTTTTTGATAGGGATGGTGGTGGGGGGCGCGCATCGGGTTGTTTGCGCATGCCCCGAATTTGGAGGCAGCGTGCGTTTTGTATTGTTTGTGTCAGGGATGGTGGTGAGGGTGATCATTGTTCCTGGTTGGCCACGGGTCGCCTGGGGGAGGGGGTGTTTATTACTAGGGAACAGATCAAGACACCCTCCTAGATAGCAGGCTGTCTAGCTCACTCCCACCCGCCCTCCCAACACATAAGTATCCCCCGAGCCTCAGCATGTTCAGCGGTCGTCTTTGGATGGGCAACTACTGGGAACCAAAACCGACCCCATGTGCGCGACGCTGGGGCGAGGTGCGCCACGCGTGCCAGGCGCGCCACGCGCGCCAGGCACCCCTGGGGCCCGAGCGTGCAGGCACGCCTGGTGCGCCACATGCGCGACGTGCTCCACGTGCGCCAGGTGTGCCGCATACTCCAGCCGCTCCAGCTGCACCACGTTCGTGGCACGTGCCGAGCGTGTCAGGTGCGCCTGCGCACGTGACAGCACACATCGGGAAGCATGTCGGCTCCCACCATCCTCGTCGAAAACCAATTCCCATCATGGTGTCTGGTGGGCCTGCACACAGCAGGCCTTGCGTCACCACCCCCGCAGTCCCTGTCAAAAACCGCTTAACAGCGATCGCGGAGTGGCCGCGCATGATCCAGATTATTGCCGCGAGGTGCATTTTGTATTGTTTTTGTGTAAAGGATTGTGGCCCTGGTGGCCCTGCGCACAGCAGGCAATATGCTGACATCCTCGCCGTCCCTGTCAAAAGACACTGCAAAGTGCCCGCGGGCCTCACGCACATGACTCAAGACTTTGCCGCAAAGTGTATGTTGTATTGTTTTTGACAGGGATGGTCGGGGGGTCCCCATCGGGTTGGTTGCGCAGGCTCCGAATTTGGAGGCAGAGTGTGTTTGTATTGTTTTTTGAAAGGTATGGTTGGGGGTGGGGATCATAGGGTCGGCATTGTTCCTGGTTGGCTGCCGGTCGCCTGGTGGAATAGGTGTATGTGAATATTGATTAGTGATGTACCTCTCCCCCGAGCAGGGGAGGGAGGGGGAGAGAAAACGAAACTCGTCAAACCACCTACGCCCCGAGGGCTGGTGGGATTCCTCATGGCTTCGTGCTTCGTCAACATACTTGTCGATTCCAAATCGCTTCGCAAGGGGCCCAGAGCCTCTGAGACCCACAAGAGATCCAGGAGAGCCCATGACGCTCCCAGCAAGTTGCCAGGATGGGCCAGGCTGGCCCTCAGGCTCGCCCCAAGACTGCCCCAAAACCGCCCCAATAGCGCCCCAAGGCCCCCCCCAGAGCGCCCCCAGACCCCTCCCACAGCAGCACCGGGAGGGTCCCAGGGACGCCCGGGCGGCCCCAGGAGGCGCGAGAGGGCCCCCAAAGGGAGCCCAAGAAGCCCCAAAGGAGGCACCACGAAGGCCAAAGGTTGGCCTCAGGAAGGCCGCATAAGCGACCCAAGAGGAGACCAGGTGTCTGGCCACACGTGCGCCGAGGCCTCTTGGGATATTCGTGTTCTGTCCGCTCTTCGAGCCTCCCTCCTCGCTGCTCGCTCCTCGCTTCTCTCTTCTCGCTTCTCGCTCCACGCTCCTCGCTCCTCGCCGATCTCTCCTGGCTGATCGCCTCTCTCTCTCTCTGTTTTTTTCTTTCTCTCTCTCTCTCTCTTCCCTCGCTCCTGGCTTCTCCCCTCTTACTCCTCCTTGCTCAGTTTTTTTGGTAGGGCCCCTCGCTTCCCTTCTTGGCTACTGCCACCTCCTTCCCCCCTCCTCCCTCCTCGGCTCTGTTCTGTCGTCTGCCCTCCCTTCTCGCTCCTTGATCCTCGCTGAACATTCTTCGTTTATTCCCATCTCCCTTCTCGACCCTGACTCCTCGTTGCTTGCTCCTTGCTCCTACCTACTCGGTCCACTCACGAGCAAGGAAAAGCGTCAGCTAGCAGGGGTACCGAGACAGCAACAGCAGCAGCAACAGCAGCAGCAACAGCAGCATCAGCACGCAGTTCGCAGGAAGCAGCACCAGCGGACGAGCAGGCAGAAGCATGTAGCAGGAAGCGGCCCCCTTCAGCTTCGGCAGCGACAGCAGAGGCGAGGTTCGGCCCAACTTTGGCCCATCGTCGTCATAAAAGTCATCCAGCAACATCTCCGCCCTGACCCCGCGTACCGTCTCGGACAGACTCCGTGGCCAGTAGGCCACGGGTCAGCCCAAGTTAGTTACAACTCTGGGATCAGCGCCTGCGAGAAGGGCGAGCAGTGGCAGCGGGCTTTGGCGCTTCTGAGCGAGATGTGGGAAGCGCATCTGGAGCCAACCGTCATTAGTTACGACGCTGGCATCAGCGCCTGTGAGAAGGGCGAGCAGTGGCAGTGGGCTTTGGCGCTGCTGAGCGAGATGTGGGAGGTGGAATTGAAGCGGGTCGTCATCTACTATCCTGCAATGTCGGTGTCACCGCGTGCCAGAGCGGTACTCGCCCAAGTGAGTCAAAATCACCAGGCCGGCCCAGACGCACCCCGACGCGCCACTTGGACGCCCCAATACCGCCCAGTGGAACCACCTGCGGGCTGCATGCGGCCCAAGAGCGCCCCCAGGAAGCGCCCACGACCGCCAAAAGGGCGCCCGAGACGTCCCTGGAAGGCCCAAGACTCCCCACCAGGTTGCCGCCAAGGTGGCCCCAATAGCCTCTAAGATAGCTCCGTGTAGGGTTCCCAAGAGGTGAAGTTGGGTTTCATTCTGGCTCTAGATGGCTCCAAGAAGGGCCCCAGAGGCTTCCGAGAGGGCCTACGAGGCCTGCGTAAAAAGGCTTTCCAGAGGGCCCAAGGCGCTCCCGAGATATTTCCAAATGGGCCCAACCGGCCTCCAAGATGGCTGGCTCTATGCCAGCCCCAAGATGTACCAATACCGCTTCGACATGGACCCGAAGCACCCCACGACCACCCCCTGACACCCTCAAAACTGCGCAGAAGCCCAGATGGCCCCGGGAGGCTTTGGAGGGCACCACGGGGGCTCAAAGAGCTTCAAGGAAGGCTGAAAGAGAGGCCCCAAGCTAGCTTCATGGAGCCCCAAGGGCGATACAAGTGGAACCAAGTGCTCAACCATACGCCCGTCGAAACCTTTGGGGGATTTGTGTGGTGGCCGTTCCTCAAGCCGCTCCCAAGGGAGCTCACGAAGCAGTGCCCTGCATAATTAAGCAGTAACAGCGAACAGTAGCAGTATGCAACACGAAGCAAGGAGCAGCAGCAGCAGCAGCAGTAGCAGCAGCACAGGCAAGGCACAGCAATGCCAAGCATCAGCATGCAGCAGGCAGCAGCACTCCGCAGCAGCACGCAGCGAACGTAACTGGCAAGCAGCAGCACCCTGCGGCCACAAGCAGCAACAGCAAGCACCAGCGACAAGCAACACCAACAACACGCAGCAGCGGCAGCATGCAACAGCACGCAGCAGCAGGCACGCTACACCACCCGCCGCCACAAGCCGCAGCACCCAACGGGCCGACACCAGTCCGAAAGACGGCCCCAAGCACGCGCAAGACGGCCGCAAAACGGCCCGAGGCCACCCCAGAAGGCACTCGGGTTTCCGCAAGGCACGCAGAAACCTCAATACGAGCCCGAATCCCAGACGACGACGACCAACCGACCGACCGACCGACGACAACGACCGACCACCGACGACGATGGCCGACCGACCCACGTGCCGACCGACCGGCCGGCCGGCCGGCCGGCCGAAAGGCTGACCGACAATGTCGATGACGATCGAACGGCTGGCCGACGGACACAGAAACCCCTCCCCCGAAGCCTCAGAGCATTGGTCTGCAGATCCGTGGCTCCGTGGATCCAATTTCCGGTGGGTCCACGATATTACTTGTTGATTTGTATGTATATTTGTGTATGTATGTATGTATGTATGCATGCATGCATGCATGCATGCATGTATGTATGTATGTATGCATGCATGCATGTATGTATATATATGTATGTACGCACGTATGTATGTATGCATGTATGTATGTATGTATGTATGAATGAATGAATGTATGTATGTATGTATGTATGTATATATGTACGTATGTATGTATGTATGTATGTATGTATGTATGTATGTATGTATGCATGTATGTATGTATGTATGTATGTATGTATGTATGTATGCATATATACACATATATATATATGTGTGTATGTATGCATATATGCATGCATGTATGCACGCATGCATGCATGCATGTATGTGCATGCATGCATGTATGCATGTGTGCATGTATGCATGTATGCATATATGCATGTATGCATGTATGCATGTATGCATGTATGCATTCATGCATGCACGCACGCACGTATGCATGCATGTCTGTATGCATGTTGTATTTTTCTTTTTTTTCTGTTTCCCGCCATTGGCTCAAACTGTTTTTAATTCTGTGCTGTAACCCTGTCCGTCTCTATCGACCTGACAGCTGGGACTTCACCTTTCTGAAGCCTGCTCAAAGCTCGCCTACCGTGCGCGGTGGGTCTGCCCTGGCAGGGATGCAACAGGTTCCGTGCGCCTTTCTGAGCATAGAACCCGCAGCGAAGACAAATCAGAGTGCCAAATCTCTGATGGACCCCGATTGCGTGTGAAACATGCAGTTCTCTCCCATTAAAAACTTGGACTCCCGCTGGTGAAAGCATTACGCCTCTCATGAGGCCACGCACGCAAGGAGTGTCGAGGAATCTGTTCAACTCTCTCCTCGGCGCCGATCCTCCACACTCCTTGCAACGAACTCTGGAGCCTGCAATGCAAACGCCGTGGTGCTCTGTGATCTGTACACTTTGTGCCTCTCTCGCTCTTCGGTCAGCTAGCGCTCTATCGCTCGGTTGTTGTCGTGGCACTGTCTCGATTACCTGACCTAGAACTTTGGCAAGATGCTTTCTGACTGCGAAACCTACCGCCGTCGACATTTCCACCCTGCACCTATCAGCGAAAGAGACTCGAAACTCCTCGGCTAGTCTGCTTGCCGCCGCATCTGCGATAGAATTCACAAGGAAGCTGGCTGGGCTCACGCCCTGCTCGAGCGCCTCGTCCGCGCTGAGGTGACTCTCCACCTTCAGCACTCTGAGCCCCTTGTCGGGGTGGTTGGCTATCGTCTCTCCAAGCCGACGCCACACGTCCACATGCGTGTCTGGGCTCTTGCCCTCTCGCAGCTTCTCGACGCCTCTCATCACATAATCTGAGTCTGTGATATACACAGCGTGCGCTAATGGCAAAATGGCCGCTGCGAACTCCAATAAAGCCGTGGCTTCACCACGGTTGACTGTTTGAAACATTCCTGGCAGATTCCCTCCTTGCAAGTGCCCCAGACCCAACTCACCCGCGTCGTAGCCCCCATCCTCTCGAAAACCAGTGAGCGTCGCAAACGCCCATGCTACTCTGCGCAGTCTAGGGTCTCGGTCTTTGCCACCGCTCGCGTCACCTCCTCCAAAGATGACCCCTGGCGTTCCGAAAGACTGGTGGCTCGACCTGCCGAAAACGAAGCTGATGGCCTCCTCTGTTGGCTCTGGGACGCTAGTCCACGTGGAGGGCACTAACCCTCGGATCCAAAGGCTAGGCAGGCTGTCCGCCTCGCTCCTTGCCTTGGCTATTAGACTCCGCGATATATCTTGAAACTCCTCATTCGCTGGGCACTCCCAGCATCTGTGCTTGTCAGTCTCGGGTGCCTGGTTGCATCTGGGACAGAGCGCGTCCGCCTCTAGTCCATACTCAAAAAGTCGCTGCCTACACCAAGTCGCACCTGTCATCACACACTGTAGCAAACCTTGCCACTTAAAATCCTTGCGCTTTGCTGCCAGGCGGCATTGCTTCCTCGGGCCTGACATATCTGGCACCTGCTGCAGGCCTTCTCCCATCCAGGAGTTCTTTGCAGCGCCTGCCCAAAGCTTCCTACTTACACTGTCTGCTATACTGGCAAAAAGGACGTGCGATTTGTCCAGAGGCCCCTTCCCTATCAGCTCTACAGGCGCTTCGAATAACTCATCTATATCGCTGTGCCAGCGCCAAGGGCCTTCAGGATTCCAGCCTAGATCGAGCAAAGTGCAAATCGTTGCGGCCATGGGTGAGCAAACCCGCCTCCAGCGATTCCTCCTGGCCCTGCCGCTCAAATTGGCTAGCACTCTGCTCCAGCCTCTCTGAACCCGCTCTGGGTTGATCCTCCGGTCTCCTAAGATAGAAAACCACATCTTAACTACATCAAAGACCGCTGTGTAGGCTGGGTCCTGTGTCCCATACTGCAGCGCGAGGAGAGTGGTTAGGCATCTGCCGTGCTTCTTCCTGCTCGACAGGTCTGCCAATGCCCGTCTCCACCGCGTTACTACACTGGGAGCTGTCCCATACACTTGATCCGAGTAACGAGACTGAGCGAACGCCGAGACCGAAATCATTCTCTTGGACAGCTCCCGATGTTTGCGCGCTCCACTCGCAAACCTTGATAACTTGCGAATCTTAAAACCTGCTGCTGCGCGCCTCGCTGCTTGCTTTGGCCTACTCTTTGAAATCCTGCCCCTATCAAGTCCCAAATCTGGTGCATTCGGCTTCACCTGAATGCTGATGTTGGCGTCTTTAAACCGCTGGGATAACTCTCGAGCTGCTACTGGCGATGAAGAGATGATGCATGACTTGGCCGCTGTAGCCAGGTGGATGTCGCGCAGGCCTGCCACTAACTGCTGGCCCGCACGAAACAGCGTCTCCACTAATCTCTGCCTGGGCGCTTCACAACGCTGCACTATGTCGTCGACCCATGTGTGCAAACTGGGAGAAGGAGGTGGGCATCTGGCCACTTCTTCGCAAACAAAATACAGGGCACACCTACCTAGATCTACAGCTCCTGTTGAGCCTGGAATCAGAGACAGACTGGGTTGTATAGCTTCTGAGAAACATCCTTCCTCTCTCAAGAACCTCGGCGACATATGCATCTGAAGCTCCAGCGCCAGATAGATCGCTGGGAAACCTAAAGCAAGTGCCTTCGAAGCTACGAGCTCCCACCTCAGGGAGTCATAAAAACCTTGAACATCCCAAAGCAGGCTGGCGTGCTCGAGGTCTGGGAGGCATGACTGCTCTGCTAGCTCGTCCTGGAACGCTCTCCAAACAGCAACACGCAACGCCGATGAGCCCGCAATGGCCGTGTCCCAATGCCCCGCTCTCTGCGCACACCACTGTGCCCTTTCAAAGTGGCGGAGTCTGCCCCAAAGGCGGGGTAGCCACGGCAGTAGACCTATGGCCCTGTCGGCCTCTCTGTTCTTGACTTGCAACATGACTAACACCGTCATAAGCTGCCATGGCCAGCAAGCACGCGCTTCGATGAAATTAAATAGTTCTGTAAGCTGGCGGATCCCCGCTGGGGGCAGAAAGGCAAAATCTCGCTTGTTGCACTGATCAACTCCATTCGCCCGACA